CAATGTTTGAGAATCCAAAGAGAGGATTATCGAGAAAACTTCTTGAGATTTTTACTTATCTATATTACTTTTGAAACTTATTTACCCTCTATATTGAAATTTTAATTTAATTGCAAGTTGATATACGATTTATCGTCCATCTACAAAATAATGCATTAGCCTCTAATTTTACCTTGTTTTTCCTTCCCCATTCCACTCATCTCTCTCAAGAAAGGATCCCTAATTACTAATGGCAATGGCGTTACTAGTGGCCTGAAATTGACTCAAAATCGAGATGCAAAAAAATATGAATTCAAATAACTCAAATCAATTACAAGAAGTGAGCGAAGTGTTAATATAAGGGGAATGAATTTGATTTTCAGTGGCAAGTGTAAATATAAGGAGAATGAACTTGATTTCCTAGATACTCAATTAAAATTAATTTCTGAAATACTCAATTACTGAAAAATGTCGAATGTGTTGTTCACCCGCATAAGATTTAAAGTTTCTCATCACCATCTCTTTAATGAATAGTCATTGACAGCCATTAAAAAGTTTCGAGGCGAAAATTAAATTTTGTGAAGTTGTTATTTGTTTGGATTAGGTGTTGATGCAAATGATTGGGAATATCCTTTGAAATTTATATCTCAATTTTGAGAGAATTTGGTGAAGATTCGAGGTGATTTTGGTTAGAATTTCAAATTGAAACTCGAAAAAGACGACATAAATAAATTTGTATATAATTTGTATGTCTGGTATAAAAACGATATATATATATCACTAACATAGTTATATACAAGTTCTATATAAATTGACCGGATTTTGTTAAAAACAATTGTACTCAAGTTGTAGGTAAATTGTAGATCTTGATCGAATTTATATATATTTTGTAAAAAAAAAATAGTTACTTTTGGTAAATAGAAAAATATAGAAAAATCGAGTAAAATAAGTTTGAAATTTCGTACATATACGAAAAAGTCCCAAATTTCTTCCGACCCAAGCCCAATTCCGCATGGCCCAAGGAAAATTAATTTTTACCTTCCTATACACTATTTGAAACTTTATTACCCTCCCTACTCAAGTTTCAATTTAATTATATAGGCATATACAATTTACCAATTATATACGCTTTAGGAATTAAATGAGTATCCCCTTATATTAGGAATTGAATAAGGAATCAATTATTTCTCATCCTTATTCTCTCTCTCTCTCTCTCTCTCTCTCTCTCTCTCTCTCTCTCTCTCTCCGTCTCTCTGTCACTCTCTCTCTCTCTTTCTCTCTCAATCTCTCATTTTTTGCTCTTTCCCCAATTTTTCTTCCTCTGATGCCCTCTAATTTTTATCCTGTCATGTTGTATATATTTTAATGGAATTCATCAATGGATTTCAATCGTTTTACTATAGAGTTTTAACTTAGCAATTTCCTTTCATATTGCACAATTGGTGTTCAAATTGAAATTGTCAATCAATAAATTTAGAAGGTGTTTTACTCTCCACCATTGACAGCCATTAAAAAGCTTTGAAACTTTGAATTCGAATTTGGGTTTTCAAAAATCATTATTTATTTGGATTGGGTGTTGTTGCAAATAATTGAAAATATTGTTTGGAGTTTATATCTCAATTTTGAGGGTGTTTGGTGAAATTAGACTTGATTTTGGCTGAATTTCAGATTAAAACTCGAAGAAGAAGAACATATACATAGTTCAAATTTTGGAAATATAAATTTTATACAACGATTCATAGATTATACAACTATTTTTTAACTTTCATACAACATTCAAATAACTATATATATGTTCTTCTTCTTCTTCGAGTTTCAATCTTAAATTCAGCCAAAATCAAGTCTAATCTTCACCAAACACCCTCAAAATTGGGATATAAAATCCAAATAATATTGCCAATTGTTTGCAACAACATTAATCCAAACAAATAATGGTTTTTGAAAACCCAAATTCGAATTCAAAGCTTCAAAGTTTTTTAATGGCTGTCAATGGTGGAGATTCAAACACTTGAATACTAAAAACTCTTTATTGCTCATCGTCTAGGAGGATTTTCATCCAACTCATTTCATCCAACTTTGGACAGTAGTACAATGCTTCAACAGAGCCATTAAATGGAAAAGTCAATCACCTTCAAAGAGTTCAATACCAAATTTAGTTTGTGACTGGTTCAGGTATTTTGTAGCCAAAGTTTATCGTTCCGAGGCTCATAACCCACTTGATGTTTAAGTAAATCTTGCCAGTCACTCAAGCTATTCCAACAATTCAGCACGATCTAGGATTATATACTTCGGGTCTATATTTTTCCGATGACGGGAGCTGCTATTGCCACCACCAGATACTCAAACGTGGTTAACACTATTTTTCCCTTTCAATTAGGGCGGGTAATATATAAAATTAGGATAATTTTATTAAATAAGTTTCAAATATTGTATAAGAATGAAAAAAATTAGAGCGCGTAGTCCAACTACAAAAATCGATGGGCCCATTGGTCGACAAGACACATGTCGATTGTTGGTGGCCCAACTAAGCATCACAGCGGGGTTATTCTATCTTTTACCAGCAGTCCAAAAGCAAAAAAATATCATTAAATGCCACGTGTTAAATACAAAAACACCAAAGCCCCTAAACCACGCCACCCGAGGACCCCGCTAAATAAGTAGTACTAGTTATAGCAGCAGATTACACTAATTAATTATCGGAATTATCTAAATCTCATTCTCTAAATCTACTCAACAAAATCTTAGGGTTCCGAATTTACTAGTATTTTTTCTTTAGCTCTGAAGCCTCTCCGTGCAAGTAGCATGTACTAGAGGTACTGTTTTTTCTTTGCTTTTCTTTTCTGTTTTTCATTTTTTGGGAAATTTCCGGAGAATTTGATTTCGAATTTGTGCTTCAGATATACTCTGGTGATTTCTAGCTTCCTCTTTTGTTTTTTGAGGTTATAATAGCTTTTATTTTTAATTCGTGTCAAAATTTGGATTTTGTGTGTCTCATATGCTGGCATGTTTCACATTCAGTAACGAAGCTTGTGGAAATTAATTTTTATTTCGGCTTAGTTCAACTTGTTTATATGCATTAATGTAAACTCACTAGGCGTTTGTGAGATGCTACGTATACGACTAAGTAATTGTTGCATGATGTCGTATACATTCTTAAATTAGAAATTTTCTCAGGTTAAGGATTGATTTTCTCACTTTTAGACAAGTAAATCCTTTAGGAGCTTCTAGAGCTTTTATTCGTATTCCTTGGCTTGAGAATGTACTGTATACTCTCTCTGGTTCATTATATGTGTTACTTGAGTAGGCACGAAGATTGAGAATGGAACCTGTTTGACTAGCACAAAGTTTAAGAAAGGAAGAAATACTTTTGGAACTTCTAGGCTTAATCATGCCATCACATTTGTGTGGCTATAAAATCATGTCTCTAAAGGGTAAAATGGGAAGTTTAAACTTAAGTTGTTTTCGTACATAAAAAAGTTAGTTCTTATTTGGAACAAATTAAGAAGGAAATAGTATCGCATAAAATGAACCGATGGAGTCCTTGGTATTGATTGTCTTAGAGGATTAATCAGAGAAGTTTCTGGAGGTGGCTAGTGATTGTCTCGGAATGATTTTGCAGTATTTATCAGCAATTTTGAGCGGTACTTGTAGTGTCTTCTGATATTCTTAGTATTGGGGAAGAATGGACTTCATGTTTTCACGGATATCAATGATGTAGCTGAGCTTGTAATTGATTGCTCTGATAGTAATTGTCTTGTTTGGCTCATCACTCCGCTCCCTCTCTCCCTTTCCACCCTGGTCAACTGAGTATGATTTGGTTGTTCAGCTGCATCCATTTGTATCTAACTTGGGGCCATATTCACCAATGAGCTACTAATCTTCATCTCCTCGCTTCTGCTATTTGAAGATTTCTAGACAAGTTTAATCTATGTTATGTTGATTTATCTTATTCTGTAGATGCTCACTTATCAAAAACCTGTACTCCATTTCTATTACTACCAATTAATTAACTGTCAATTAAGTTCATCAATATTTTACCGTCCACTTCCAACTATGAGCCCAAATTCTGCAAAGTATTGTGAATTGTGTGATCCTCCTGGAACTGAATGTCCTTTTTTTCCCGGTTTAGGCGACCACAAAGTACTGTCCTAGAACCAAAACACTATGGGACACCCAGTTTAATCTTGTCGGAAGATCAAATGTACCATCATTTATTTTCTCTGCAACTTGGCTGAGTTGAAAGAGTAAACTGATTTGCTGGCAGGTACTGCAGAAGACTTGCGAAAGGCGGACATTAGACCCTAATTTTGTGAAAATGAGCCAAGCTGTTCAAGGGGACAACTCCACCGCCCCTGTTGCCCTTCCTTTGAAGCGAAGAAGGGGTCGCCCTCGTAAAGATCCTAGCCTAAAGCGTGTAGGTCGACCTCAAGTTCCTCCACGTTTTGAGCTAGTGCAAGAGATCCAACCACAGCAAGTAAATAGAACAGATGGGATGATAGGTCAGGCTGTTACAGGTGTTGTTGAGGCTGCATTTGATGCTGGTTATTTGCTTAGTGTTAGAATTGGCGACTCCAATACGAACTACAGGGGTGTTGTTTTTAAGCCAGGACATTATGTTCCTGTCACAGCAGCAAATGATGTAGCCCCACATGTTCAGATGATTAGAAGAAACGAGGTCCGTCCTCCTGCTGAAAACCAAATTCAAGTTTATGGCCAAAGGGCTGAGCGGAATGGATTGCTTAATGTTGGATCTAGGTCCTCAAAAAATAAACAGGTAGTACCACATCCTTCAGTCCCTCCAGTGGGTGCCAGAGGCACAGTGGTTCCTGTTGTGCTACAACCTGTCAATTTAACAAATGGATTAGCATCTAGCCAAAATCCTGCACACCAAGCTTCTAATATGGAGTCTGCAAGAGAGAGAGAGGTCCAGATGGTTGCGCCATTAGCTATGCTGCCACCTGACGGATCAGTAACCTGTGGTCAGGTACCACCGATACCAACTCGTGAAACATTTCCTTCACAAACTCAAGTTAGCGACAAAGTGGCAGTAGGTGCTGGGCAGAAAGAGGGTGGCTCTCATAGCAAGGGAACAGAAGTTGTGCAACGGAAAGAGGTGAAACCAATTTTATCAACCAACGTTAGCATACCTGTTGAAGTAACCAAGGGGTCTCAAGGATCTGCTCCGCCAGCGAAAACAGATACGAGAAATAATGAGGCCTCTCATGAGTTGTCAGCAGAACAGTCACCTGTAGGACCCAAACGAGATATTCGTGACATGAATCAGGTTCCCTCGGCAGAACCAACTGAACCTGTAAATCCCTCTCTTCATACCCAGGCTATATCTGTTTCAAAGCCGTTAATGAATTATGGGACTGGCAGGATGACTGAACTTTTACAGGTAAAGTAACCAAAACTTCAATAATCATTTCGAGCTCTAGAAGTTTACTACATCAATAAAGATCTGTCTAGGTTCTGAAAAATTTTCCCACATGAAGGCTGTGCAGGAAAATCTGATGGAGAACCAGCTGCTTCGTGCTGGAGAATCAGGTCTCGGTGTGACAACTATCCCAAAAACTGATAGCAGTATAGAGGAGACTAGTGTTCAGTAGATCTGGCAGATTGTATAGTGCTACTATGTATTTAACTACCTTATGAAATTGCAGCTGGTCCTTACGTGGAATTAGTCGGATGGCGGATGCGAAAAGACCATAAAATAGGAAGCAGCTCCGGCATAACATAAAGCCCGTCTCTTTTATGTTTATAAATTCAGACTAGAAATATGCATATTATTAAACGCTTGTGGGAACTGTTTATAATGGTATATTATCATCTCCGTACATGTGTCTGCCTTGCAATTCTATTGAATAATTATACTATGTGGCTATGTCAAGGTTGCCAAATTAAGCAAAGGTGACCACTTGATATTATAGATTCTGGTTTTGTACTAGCACAAACTTGTTTTATAGCTTTCGCTTTGAATGGTAGGTCCAATGTAACTATATGGATAAGTCAACATTATAGCAGGTTTTATTTCACATAAAAAGCGCCCCAATTTTAGCCAGATCACTCGATACTGTCGTTTTGGTTCACCGGGCAACTGATTTATTATATTGACTTGTCTTAAAATTTTACTTAATATTACCAGTCATACTCACCAAAGAACATGTTATAGTTTGGGGACCTGTACATCACAGAATATTTAAAATTGAATCCGAGGAATGGCTTTGACCAAAATCTAGCTTGACCCCAAAAATGAAATGTGGACATGACATGTTTGATAACCAAAATACACGGCAAAATGTAATATAATGATCAAAATTAAACATGGAGCTATCTGTCACTATTAATTTCAATTCCACTTTAACATCCGACATTCAAGCTGTATGAATCATACAAAAGGTGCGATTTTGACGCCCAAAAATTTGTTTCCTGCAGTTCAAAACTGGAAATCTATCTCCTTCGGATCACCACAAAAAACAAGAACCCCTGTGTGAAGTCCTCCTCTACCTTCTTACAAAAGCAACTGTGTAACTCAATATACAATGTTAATGCCTCTCTCTACTAATAAAGAATAACCTGCTCATACTGTAAGACTGGAAACTTCAGAAAAGAATCACCCTGCCAGAGATTGAGAACAAACGAAAAAAGAATCTCAACGGGCAGCATATTTCAACTACAGAAGTATATTCATGCAAACTTGTTAGGCAGAAATCCATTAGATCCTGGGACTTGCATAGGCCGTATAACAGGAAAAGACGCCTGTGTAATAGGAATGCTTGGCATAGTGAATGGTTGTTGTAACCCTGTTATAACTGGTGGAGCCATATATAACTGCAATGCTTGCGTTGCTGTACTTCCTGCAACAAGGGATGTACTAGGTTATTCTGCCAGTAAAATACAGGCAACTTATAACAGTACTATAATGTGTAAATAACTGTACTTAATGTGCAATTCCAGGTTGATAGTGCAATATATTAGGGAGAAATGTGTATTTATTAACACTACTTTAACAAATCCAAATCCACAGCACATCAATGTTCAAGTGATAAATCATTGCAGCAAGTTGTAGTCAGTCACAAATTGTTGTTCACCATCTAGTTGAAATCGCAAGCTAATGGCAAATAGGAACACAAATTCATACTCAACAAACATATTATAGCGCTGATATGGAACCGGTCAAACAAAAAGTAACCTGCTACGGTATCAACAAATGCTAAAACTTCCTACACATTCTATCTGCTACTACTGACACTACTGTAGGTCTACAATTTTTGGGTCATCTACCTTGTAAAGGAATAATGCTTTAAAAGGTCATCCCCCTTAGATCCCAGTGTGCAAGCTTGGACCTTTGATATAGTAATTATCTACAACTACTAGCAACAATTGCATTTAACTAGTCGTTACATTAAATCAGACAGTAAAGCATTATGCATTCGAACCTCTGAAAATAAGTAGTTGAAGCTACTAGAAACTATTGAATTGAACTCAAGACTTACCATTCAAAACTATAAACATTTGGACCACTTCTAGTTATACCATTAAATGTCCACGAACACGTACCTTGATGCTTAGGAGGATGGACCGGATGTGGAATTAATAGAGGACGTGTGGATGCTTGAGAGAACCCCACTGCACTCTGAACAACATCCTATAGACAAGATATCAGACAGAAAAGAATCAGGAAATTGCAACGCTATAAACACACACAGAACAGCAGATGGAGGAAAGTGATAAAGGGCCATCCAAGTTCTATTAAAAGTCATAAAAGTCGTCCCAAAAAAATACTATACAAAGTAATTCGTCTTACATGAGAAACGGGATGCATATAAACAAGTGGTCCCAACCGTCCAACCATAACCTGACAACATGAAGAATTTTAGAAGTGACATTAACATCTGCAACCGTCTTACAAGCACAAAAATAATAACAGGATGGCATGCTATTGTCATAAGGACGTCAATTTAATAATAGGGCCACACCCCTCGACATGATAAGACTCAAGGACTCTCTTCTACTTTCCAACCTAACAAAGTAAATGGCTTCAGCAAGAGAGTGCCATGCTAATTTCCCTTACATTTTGAGAATTTGGATGCACATAACCGGTTGCAGCCTGAAGGTGATGATACTGACCGGCATACCTAGCCTGCTGATTCCTGCTTCCCATGTATCCAATAGTCTACATGTTAACAAAGATGGCTTCAGAAAAATATGCAGCAACATCAAAACAGTAATAATTGATTCTATGTAAGCATGATGTAAAATAATACATGTGATTGATTTCATTTGTTTGATATTAAGCTGTAACAACTAATTTGAAAGGGCATCTGACAAGCAGCAGCATTTTGGTAAACTGCGTACTATAATATCAAGAAACAGACCCAATTGTTTTTTTCTACCTTCAACTTCTTTATACAACAGAAGATATATCCTATTAGCACATGATTTATGATAAATCATTGTATAAGAAAGATTTTTCTTTCATTAACTTTTCATTTCCTTTTGTTTTTATCAACATATTTATCAATTGCCTTTTCCTAAATGTATATCAGTGACATAATTAGATTAGATAAAGCACAGAATTGCATAATAGCTTCCATTCAAACCGATGGGCTAGTCTCCAAACACCAAATTATGGAAGTGCGATGTGGTTATGTTAGGAATGCACATTTCTTATGGTCACTATGAGATGGTTGATTTAGGTACAGAAAATGGCAGTCAATCAACCAAAAGGATTTCGTAATCAATGGAATAATCTCAGTTACTCAGAGAAATAACTCTAGTTGTCAGAAAACTAAAGAAGGGGGTGGGGGCTGCATCTTCAAAGTAAGATAAATAATCATAATCACATACCTGTTGAGCATATTGTACGTCCAAGCCACCATTTCCAGCTGCCAAATTATTATAAGGAACAAACTTAACTGGCACAGATGGACGAGAAGCAAAAGGGGTGATTTCAACTTCAGGCTCAGCTGTAGCCACCGGTACTACAGGACAGGAATCTGGCATGTACACCATTGTTGGCATCACATGAGGAGTAACAGTTCTATGCTGCAAAGCCGATGGAGAAAATATCTTTGCCCCAGGGTTGAGCTTAGACTCCTAGAGAGAAGGAAAATCAACAGTAACAACTCACAAATCATCCTAGACAATGATTAATACAGGAGTAAGGATAAAAATTTCCAAAAACTCAAGTACCACGATAAGCTTGACATCACCATAAACCTACTGAAAAAATTAGCTTATATAACTATGTATACGAATGAACAAAAATTTTGATCATGCACCTGCAGCAACTGACCCCACTAAGTTCACTTTACCTTCGTATTAGCATTATGAATTGAACTTCGTGGAGGCGCCAAATCAGCTGGAGCTGATGATGAGCTGACGCAAGAGACTGAGGCAATTGGAGCACCAGAGGAAGTAGGGCCCAAACAAGGAGTCTTGCCTAGAGTCTGCTGCTCATGGCTGTGCCTCTCATTATTCCGATCATCAAGTCTGATTGAGGAAAGAGGAGGACTACCAGAAGTTATGCCATTTGATGACAACCCTGAGTTTGCTTTGAAGTCAACATTCTCAATGGCAGTTGTTTGAGTTACAGAAACATCCACTGCAAGTGAAAAATTTATAATACCATTCATGAATGACATTTTTTTTGGTTTATGATAGATATGTACATAATATAAAGAACTCAAAGATCTCATTATCTACCAACAATCATAATTTCGTTAAGAGTTCTTTTGCAGAATAAGGAAATAGCATGTTCAAATAAGGATTCCCTCTTCTTCTTTTTTTGAGAAGGGCAAATAAGGATTCCCTTCACCATTAAGTCTTTAACAACACGGAAAAAGTCACAATCTGTGAAAGTGATTTGATATTTTTTCCTTTTCTTTCGTCTTACTGATATGCGGGGGGAGAAATGGCTTTTCCCATTTTTCCAATTTCTCCTTTGGTGACTCGGTGTCCCATCCACGAGGACAACCCCCTCTTGTCCATTGATTCGATTCTTTTATAGCAATTTTTAATTGGTTATATGGAGTTAAGAATGATGGGAAGCAGAGATTAGGTTGATTATGATTCATCATGAAACTCGGTCAACGAGAGACTACTGCCTAATCTTTTTGCCACCCATCAAGAGGGGTCCGCATGAAAAACTATGATATTGCGAGAACTAAAGCATTAAATCAATACTCACGATTTGAGCTTGAGCCTTGAACTTCAAGGATCTACAAAATGAAAAGAAAAAAGAAAATAAGTGCTCATTAACTAATAACAACGAAATCACAGCTTTTTATCTCTCACTAGATGTTCAGACAATGATAGGATTAACGTACAGTTCTCTCCCTTAGAGACTCATGGCTTTCCCTGCAATCACTTTGCTTATTGATTAAGACATCACGCACAAGTCTGTCATGATTGACATGAATGGAGAGTTGTTAGTGCTCAATTGACCATAGAGAGGAGAAAAATTAAGGTTATGAGAAGTGAGATAATAATCTCATGAGGGAAATGGCAGAATCCAGCAGGTATTAGATATTGGGATGACCTTTCCCTAAATTTACAGTTCATCAGATAACAAAACTGCAGATGCCAGCTACAAATTGTGTTGATGACTTGATTCAGCGGTATTTAAATAATAAGATGGTTACATGCTTATCTAGAAAGTAACTTATGCCAGAAAACCTCATTATTGACTTTTCACCAAAAAACGACATCCCTCTTTAAAAAGAAAAGAAAAACCTCCAGGAGCATATGTCCATCAGGGAGAGCAACACTATAACTAAATTCAAATTCAATGCAATATGGGCCATCATGAGGATCATGCAAAATCAGATCAATATAGGAAGTATATAAATCAATAAATCAATGGACTACCACTCCATCCCAAACTTGCTATGGTCGGTTTTATGAAGCCTCTACAACCATCTCGCT